CACACTGAATCATGTTCAGCTGCTCTCTTCCATGACCAGATTGCTGATATTTAACTGCTTCCTTGTCTTCTCCATTCTGTGAAGGGGGCACAGTGTAGGAGAGGGAAAATATGAAAGCAAGGGTAAGCTGATTCTCTAATTTTCTGGCTGAATTTCAGTGCTTTGAAGTATGTATACAGTGCCCCATACAGCATTTATAAAAAGAGGTGCATTTAATCAAGTAACTTTATTTTTAGCTGCTACAAGGAGCACTTTAAAATATATTGCAAAAGGATTTCAGAGATTCTAATAACACAGAATTGTTCACTTTAGGACTGCACTGAACCCTGCTGTGTGTAGCAACTGAAATTAATAAATAGGCCCAGATTTCAAGTAGTATTGAGAGGATGAACCGCTCTCTCTTCCTTGTTTTAGTCTTGGTAGAGATCGGATATTTCCTAAGTGGCTTTGAGGAAACTTTGCCTTCGCAGTCAGCAAAGCTGGCACTGCCACCCCAGCTGAGAGGTGTGTCCTTATGGCAGAGGAGCTGGGGGCACCCAGAGCAGCCCCGAGCACCGGCTCCTGCCATGGCATCTGAGTGACCTCTCCCTCGAGCCCCGCTCCCATCCCAGCCGGGCTGGGCAGCCCAGGCTGAAGCTGTTCAGCAGCACAGCTTGGGGAGGTCAGAGGTTCCTCATAATTCACCTGATGCCCCCAGAATAACAGATGGTTTTGTCACAGGACAGTGTGTCAGGGTCTGCCAGGCCAAAGGCTCTGCTGAGGGAACGAGGTTTGCTCAAAGCCTGACTGACACAGCAGAGCATGGATGTCTCCAGTGCCACACAGGAGCTTCTTTCTGGGCCTGTAAAGCTCTTGCTGATACCCAGAGTGAGCCAAATTGCAGTTATTAGACCAAAACAAGAATTACATGTATTTATTTTGCAGCAAATAAGCTGTAATTTAGTGTTAATTTGCGGTGACAGTCAAATTTACTCCTTAAAAAAAAAGTACAAATCATGTATTTAACTCATCAAAACATTTCAGCATGGGGATAATTTGGACTGTAAACTCCACTTGAAAGTAACAATTACTTGAATGTTTCTTCTCTTACTCCCCTGTTGTGGCTAAAACAGTCTTCTGCTCATTCACCCAACTTGTCTGCTACTTCTCAAAATAAAACAAGGTGTGAAGACAAACAGACACTAACCCGTTCAGTGCAGAAAACTTTCAGTGTAGTGCCGTCAATTAAAAATGTATAATGTGTTTGAAACTGGCAGAATAATTCAAGAAATGTGTTCCAGGTATGAAGAGTCTGTTATCAAGGACTCTCTGTGCAATTACAAATTCTGTGGTTTTGGAAGAGGTGAAATCATCTTTGGTGTTTATTGTTGTGTGCTCTAAAGTTTACCAGGGACAGCAGGAAGCCCAGATAGGAGCATGCTTTTTTCCCAGTGCAGCTGATTTTTCCAGTTTGTTATATTGATTGATTTGCTAATTTGTTATATTGATTTCCAAAACGTGCAGAAGTAAACATCTTTCTTTGGTATGTTTTAAATTTAAAAATTTAAAAATTTAAATTTAAATTTTAAAAATTCTTTTCCTGTAAGTGATTCCTTCTGGAGCAAGAGCAGAGGATGAGGAGGGTGAATGTGTTCTTCCACCCTTTTCAAAATGAAGACTTCTCTTTCTGGAACAGAAGGGCTGTCTGTCATCTGTTGGAAAAGTTTTCTGTTTTGTTTGCATTTGAGTTTTGGATCCACTCTGAACCCCTGTCCCCTCCTGCTGGCCTTGCCCAGGTCACAAGAAGCAGCATGGCCAGTGAAGGCATTGATGACTTGTGTGGCTGGCATGTAGAATTGTGCAAGGGAAATACCTGTGCCTTCTCTACAGTCATGAATAACTGAGTCACCTGTTTTGTCATAAGCTATCTGAAGTTGTACAGGAATAGAGCCTTCAGACGTGCTGAAACCCTTTGGGATGAGCTGGTAAAAGTTGTTAAAGGAAATGTCACTGGGTCCTCCCACTAAAACCCACTAAACTGGATTTATACTGGTGACATGGGCTGGCTGCTTTCTTTTTATATGGTTCAGATTTATCACTTCATTGAGTGATTCATGGTGGCGGTTTTAAAGGATTTGATTCGTAGTTAAAGGAAGGATATTTTTTAGAAACAAAAAGCAAAGGAGAATGACATAGATTTGGAAGCCTTCCTAGTTTTTCTGCAAGCACTCATTCTTTTTTTAAAAAATTGTCTTCTGAATTCTCAGATGCCTGCACACATGTTGATCTGTACATTTTTATGGCTTAGAACATGGAAACACAAGGAACAGAGGACTTGTGTTGAGCTCTCACTCCAGTCCTAACACCTTCCCTGTGTCCCTGGCCAGACTGGCTGTGTTTGCCCATTTCTGTCCCAGTGCCCTCAGGCAGCTTTTCTGCTCGTTCCCAGGGGAGGGGACATTGCTGTACTCCTCTTTATTGCCATCTCCTTTGCACACTTGAGGTCTGCCTCTGAAAGCACAGTCAGGAAAACTGGTTCTTGTGCCATTGATTTGGGGCAGTTTTAGGTACCAGGAGGCATTTCAGCACAAAGCTATCAGAGTTCCAAACTGCTGAAAGAGGTCTAAGATTTGGGAACTCTTGAACTAACAGTAAGTTCCACTTATTAATAGTAAGTAATGGCAAGGACATTAGGTTACGTACGCGTATTAAGTTGAGTCGCTTAAAGGAATTTTCATTGTTAGGTACCCCACATCACTTAGTAAATACATAAATGTGTGCATCCTTTGCTGTGCCACCATTGTGAATTTTCTTGTACACCTGAATTAATTTCACCACCTGTGAAAAGAGATGTGTCAGAAGCCACTTGGAGAATCATTCTGAAGTAACATTTGGACTCTAACCTATCATGAGGCAGTCTTTCTAAAATGTCCAACAAGATAAGCTACTAGGGGAGAAAATGGACAAAAGTTATTAGTTGTAGAGCTGACAATGATTTGTATGCAAATCACATTTTAATCAGGTAATGTGCAGGACTACGAAATGGCTGAGTTTTCATTAATTGATCAGAAGAAGATTAATTAGCTGTTTCAGTCATCAGTTTGGAAACATTTTCACAGACTATTTTTTTAATAGTCTGTTTATTTGGAAAATCTGTCTTTGCATAATTCAGTCACAGGCATGGTACTCATAATCCAAATTTGTTTCAAGAGGCCTTCAGTGGACCTTGATGTCATTCCTGCAATATCTGTCATTCCTCTGTCAGCAGTAAATGGCAGTGAGCAGAGCCAAAGCTGATCCTTGAATCAGGACAGTTGGCAAAGCAAAGTCTTGTTCTGATGTGTAAGTTGTTGATGTGATTTTGCAATGATAGTGTTAGTAAACTGTAGCAATGTAAATGGTTTAACTTTTAGCAAACTGTGGCAATGTAAATGGTTTAGCTTTTAAGTTCTCATTTTCCTTCAATTTTCCGTGAGGGCACTAATCAAACTAATGTTTTGTGCAGGTCAGGAGTGACAGGTTTTTCTCAGGGCTCGCTGGGAGCTGACAGTGGGCAGTATTTATTAACAGTGCCTGCAATAATCTGTCAGCTAAATGGAGGATTGGAGATTTTCATAGCGGAAACAGATAAGTCTTTGCAAGAGATTTTCCTCAAATGATCAGTGTCTTAGGCCCAATGCACATAATTTTTTTCCATAGAATAATATTCCTTATGTAATAGATTACTGTTGACGAAAGCTGTGAGATGTTTTCAGAGGAGAAGCAGTATCTCATTGCAGATCCAGTGTTACATCTTTCCTTATAGCTTTGAGAATGAATGGGTGTGTAATGCATTAGAGCTGGTAAAGCCGTCTGAACAATTGGCTCCTGATGGGGCAGCAGTGCCTCCTGAGCAGCGCTGCAGGATGGTGCTTCACCTGCCCATGTGGCCCTGCCAGGCTCACCTGGAGTTTCTGACAGTAATGCTTAAACGTTGATGTATTCCCAGAATGTTCACAGGGCATTGCCTGCATTCGTTCCTTAGCTCTCTCATCTTGCACACCCGGGGGGTTCTGTGTGCTGTGCATTTTGTCTGTATAAATTCTTGGTGGCTGTGGCAGTTGAGTTTTGGGTGTTTCATGCCTTCCTCAGCCACTGATAGGAGATGAATTACATTGGTTCCTGGCTTGAAAATAAGCGTGACTTGGTGGATTTCTAAATGCCAAGATCTCTAGAAGCTGTAAAATTGTGTATTGTTGAGAGTAACTTACAACTGTTGCTAATAATAGATCAGCTAATAATATGACAGCTTTTAATAATATGAGATTTGAAAGATGGATAGTAATGCCATATCTCCCTGGGTAAGACTGAGCAAAGGCTTGAGGAAAAGTCAGTCTTCACAGCTGGAGCAATTACTTGTTAGGTGTTAGCTACAGCCTCAGCAGAAATCTGCTGTGAACAACACAGAGCTGCCTTGAGAGAGCTGCAGCTGTTCTGGGAACCTCAGGGATGCTCAGTCTGTCAGATGGGATGATTGATGTCCAGCCCAACCCTGTCACTTCTATTGTGGTTCACAAAGTACCCCAAAACACAGGTGACGTTGCTTATATATCAGTGAACTCAAACGTACTCTGAACTCACTGCTAATTCAGCAGTCCTAATTCTTACCTGCCCAGACCAAAGCTATATCCTTAAACTTTCCAAGGTGTGAAGGACCTCCATGATACCCTCAAGATTTCCATGGTTCCCAAATGCCACTTCTGCAAGATTTGTATGAACTGTTGCTTTCCCCAGCTTCCTCTGTCAGCCAGGCATGGGAAATTAGATGCCCTGTTGTACAGGGACTGGAGACAAAATTGCCTAAGCAAAGAAAATCAACTGAAAAATATGGTTAATATATTGGTCCAGTACAAACTGGTAGTTTTGATGGTTCCAATAATTATTTCTGAGACTGTGCTAAAGGATAACATGTGTATCCTTTTATATTCTTGCATGTTTGTAAAGCCAAATGACAGGTTTGTTCTGTTTTCACTTTTTTCCAGAATTATCGATCAGCGATTTGAGAAAGTTTCGTATTTTGTCTTTGGAGATTTCAACTTCAGACTGGATGCCAAAGCAGTAGTAGAGGTAAGACTTCTCTTTTTCTTCTGTTGTAGACCCTACCAGGTTGGAATTATTTTTTTTTTTTTTCTGAAGAAAACCTAAAGGTGACTTGACAAAGTAATGTTAATATTGACATCAGACTTGCCCAACAGACTTGCTTCTAACAGGAACATCCAACAAGTAACTAACATTGTGTGGTTGTAACTCTTACCATCTCCTTATAGCTCACAGTGAATCAGAATAATTGCCTGCAAACAGAGGAAGTGTTGCATTACCTTCCTACTCTGAGGAAAAACAAGAGGCATTTCCTCAATGTCTGTGGTAGAACTCCACACTTTAAAAGTACAGGCAGTCATCAGTACAGACCTTTGTGCCTGTAGCATCTTGATGTGGAGGGGTGGCTAGGAGATTTGCATGAAGCCAAAATAATGTGCTAAATTTTTTCATTATAAGTTGAGATAACCTTGACCTGAATGCTGAAGCTTCAGGTAAGGTGGTGTCAGAAATAATACCCAGATTGAAATGGGTATTTAATCTTATGGCTTTCACACTTTATTTCTCTGAGGTGCTGCAATGTCTTTTTGGTGTCCTTGAGGGTAGGCATGCATCTTTTGAGCCAAAAGTTTTTATTCTGTAAATCTGTGGGAAATGTCCTGTGTGCCAAAGGCTGGCAGCCCCCCATTCAGGTGCAGTGCTGTTCTCCTTCCTTACATGATCAGTAGTCCATCCATTGAAAAACTGGAGTTTGATGTTACAACATTTCATATGGAACTAATAACTTCTTCTTGGAATCCTTTCTGTAGTGCAGTCAGTCAGCCAAAAGCTTAAAGCATAGTTGAAATGGAAGTCAAGTCACTAATTCAGAATATGCAGCTTCGTACTGCATATGCTAAGGGTCAAAACCTGCTCTGCTCCCCTGTGGCTGCCACAGTTATCATCAATGTTCAGAGATCACTTGATGGTGATCACTTCAAAGAGCTGTTATGCTTTTTCTCTTCACTAGTGGTGTGGTGGTGTTACTGAGGGTGTTGCTGTCTGAGAGCCCCTGTCAGTCACACTGCAGCAGTTACCCCCTGCACTCAGTACTGATGAGGGTGCTCCAAGCTCTTCCTGACTCACATACTGCCAGCAGTCTGCAGCACTGACACTGCACAGGGTGTTTGCTTTAGTACCAGTACATCAAGATTTCTATGTTTATATCTGTCAGTTTGAAAATCATCCCCATCAAACAAAATAGCATCACTAGCCCCAAATGATGGAAACTGAGTGAGCTGCAGAGCAAGTAGGGTGAGCCCAGAGGTTTCTGAGCCTGACACAGTACTCTGCATCTTGAGAGTGTTTTACCCCTACTGGTTTACGTTGCTGCATGTGAGCACAAAAAGTGTAATTGTAAGATGAATCAAATTCATTTTCGCATTCTTCCTACCTAAGATGCAAGCCTGTGTGAGTCTACAAAGCACTAGAATTATATTTTCTTTTGGGTTTTTTTTTGAGAAGTAGCATACCCCAGTAATCAGAACTTCACCCAGCTACTCTGCAATGTTAATTAAGCATAATTGAAACTGATTCAGAAACTTCCAGTTTATACATGGACAGCTAAAGTCACGGTAAGTTTGTTTTGTAGTGTTTTGTACTTGGTGTAGTTTATAAATCTGTATGTCAGCAGACCCCATAGCTGTAAGAAACAGTTGTCTGATGTGTCTGGGACTGCCTCTGGACAGTGCTGAGGGAGTTAATAGTCAGCATGCAGCACTGGCAGTAAGGGCTGGCTCCTAGGACAGATCCATTCCTAAAGTACCATTTGGAAGGACAGAGCTATAGGCCACCTCTAGAGGGAATGGACTAGACAGGACTCGGTGTCTGATTGTGTTTAAGATCCAGGCCCAAATCGCCTCACGAAGTAGCTTGTGAAGGGTGTGACTCAAAGGTGCAGCTCAAACACAGCCGGCTGTGTACAGCTGGCAGTGGCACAACAGGAGAGGCAGGGCTGCTTCTGTCCCACATGCTCAGTGCCAGCCCCAGGGAGAGCCTGTGCTCAGCTGGGAACCTCCCACTAAAGGCTGTCCCAGTCCCTTCTGGTTCTTAAACGTGTGCCCATGCAAATGGATATTAACCACTCTTTGGACTATTCAGCAGCAGAGTTAATACTGGGAATTGTAAGGGTTAATCCATTGACCTGTCATCTTTGTGTATGTTACTAAATTTATCTCTGCTTTTCATGCTGACCTTTTGAATTCCCTCTTGAGACCACAGCTGCTGAACGTTTGAACACTGAGATGCTACAAGCAATACTTGTGTAAATGCAGACTGTGCTTACATCAAACATAAAGAATAAAGCGTGTTTGTAAATAACTTCCCAATTAAGCCATTTAAAGGGAGAATCTGAGAGCTGTTCAGAATGTAGAGTCCAGACCCTGATATGCAGTGTCCTAAATCAGATGCAAAAAATGTTGTGTATATTAATTCATAATTGACTATAAATCATTAATATGTAATTTATTGAACACTTATGGGAGCCTTAATTTAAAGTCACATTGATTTCCTTGCTAGGAAAATCTGCTTTCCTGTTGTTGTAGCCGTGCAGGGGGAGGCTGTTACTGGCACATGGGCAATGCCAGGTGCTGTTGCTGAGGCAGCACCAGTGAATTTTCCAGGTGTGTTTGCTGGTTGGTTCCTGGCCTGCCTGGGCAGCCTCACCGGGGCCAGGTCCCAGCACATCCTGCTCGGGCTGTGCAGCCGAGGCTCTCGCTTTGAGGAGGGTGAGTGCCAGGGCTTTATCACTGCACAACATCCAGAAAATCTTCTGTTAGAGTCCAGCCTTTTGAAGGACACCACCCTGCTCCAGCCAGCAAAAATAACCCTTGTAGTTACAAAGGGTGTTTAGTAAGGCAGTAACTGCAGGAGAAAGATCTACATTTCCTTGGGTTTTGGTCACTCTAAGATGTGCTGTAAGACCCGAATCTTCTGTCTGACAGCCTGACAGCCAGGTAAATTCACTTAATCTTATATTGGCAAAGCTGGCTGAGGATTTGCTGCTGTTTAAATTCAAAGTTTTGCCTACTGATTTTTTTTTTTAAATCCTAGACTTTTTTGGCTGTTACAGCATTCTGATTATTTGCCCACTGCTTTCAGATACCTTCCAGCACCTCTATTCCCAGCACATATGGAAGTGTTTGCAACATAATATAAAAAAAAATATTAAAAATATTAACATATTAAAAATTCACAAATTCAAGCCTGCCCAGGCACTGTGCTGGAACTTGGAGCTGCTTCTCTCCTGTACCCTGCCCCAGCCCAAAGCATCTCAGCTCCCAGCTGTGGCTGTGCTTATCCAGAGGAGTATTTCTCCTTCTGTCTGTGGGCCAGTTCACCACTCTTGCTCTGTTTTAGTTACCATTCAAGTGTTTTAGGTGGGTCTAGACCAAGGAAGAGTATATTTTCAGTCAGCTGGCCATAGTAACAATCTGTATTAATCTCTGAGAATTACTTTATTTTAATATTTAAAGAAGTTATTAGTTGAATCTCCATACTAGAAGTCTTCCTCATGCAATATGTCCATTTTAGGAAGGTATAAACAGGCTTAAGAAACTGAGCTTATTTTGACTGCTTTGGGAGTAAACCCTCTTTCTGAGACTGCTGATTCAGGACTCTCTTAGAAAAGTACCTTGTGGTTCCAAGAAAGAATTTAAAATTGTGTGCTCCTCAGTCCCAAGAATGGCAGCTCAGTAACGAGTTCAGTTTGTCAAGCTTTAGGAGAAAGTCACATTAATCACAAAATCCATTTGCTCAAGGTAAACCATAGCCTTGCCTTGTATCCAGAAAAAAATGGAAAAAACCCTTTTTTTTCATTACTAAAGTCTTGTTAGGGTTGGATGCAGCTTGCTTGGTAAGCTGAAGGGGGATTAAGTGTTTCATATATGAAAATTTATAAAGATAACAACAGAAGTGGTGTTTCAGAATTCCAGACATTTTGGCCTACAAAAAGCTTTCAAGCTCTACCTGCAGAAAAAAAAAGTTACGTCCTCATCTTAGAATTAACCGTGTCCACTCACTCTGTGTGCTCTGTGGGTTACAGTCAACCAGAATATTTCCTTTCTAGACTTCTGCCAAGCAGCCCTTTGATAAGCCAGGACTGGAATTGCTGATTGAATGTTTTTTAAAAGCTAATAACTGCTCATAAGAATTTACATGTCTGACTCCATCATTCACTTGCAGCGTGCCTCTCTGCCACCTCTGACCATGTGATTTTATATTATCTGATAAAACAGGAACGACTTCCTTCTGGCATGACTTTTTAGCTGCCACTGTATTGCTGATGCTGCAGTGAATCACATAATTTCCATTTGATCACGCTGTCTTGGCACAATGTGGTCTTTAATTCTGAGCAAGCCGGGGGGGCATGGTATCCCTTTATCCAGCGTGCTCGTGCCAGCAGAACTTGGAGGAGCACTCCTGGCACTGCCACAGGGTGTGCCTGCAAAACAGGGACCTCTTCCTCTGAGACATCACTCGCTCTCTTTTGAACAAACATCTCTTGTTCAAAATAAAAGCTGATTAACATCTTTTCACCTCTGAATAATTGATTTAGATCTTACTCAAATCTGGGGAAATATTTTAAGTTGAAATTGGACACTAACAAAGATCCTTGCAAACTCCAGCCAACAAATGACCCATTAGTAATTGTCATGAAAAAGATTAATAGTTAATTAGACAATTATCACTGATTTGAAAAGCTGATTCAAGTGAGATAGTCAGGTGATGGATGGATGTGGAGACTTAATTATCTCCTCCTTGGTACAGATGTGCTTCCCTGGACAGAAACAGGTCACCTGTCAGGATGAGGCTCTTGCTCTCCTCGTGCATTCAGGAGACACCAGCAACCACCTGGCTGTCTTGTCAGGTGCAAATATTTGTGTGTGTGTGTGTATATTTTTTAATCTAAGTAATATCTGCAGAAGATGTTTTGAATGCATCAGGAAAAGGGCATGAAAGAATTGCACAGTCTTGTTGTTACAAAGACAGCA